TATTGTGTACAGTGTTCTGAAAAAAAGAGATTTAAAATATATGAACTCTTCACCTTAACTTTAGTGGCCCTGAAGGGCTTCAGACCTTATAGGCTTTCAGGCAGAATGCAACAACGACATTTCTGCGCTCTGAAACATGTTATATGCAACAGAATTATATGACACAAGTTTCCATTTGTAATGAGACCTCAGGAGAAAAACTCTACCTTAGAAACAGATTTCTGTCCAGGTCAGCATGTCAGGTGTGTTTTCACAGTTAGGTCGCTTATTGTTGGTAGGCAATACGTGTAAACTAAATCAACCTCGAATCCGATACTGATATGTGAGAGTATGGTGGGGTTTAGCGAACAACTGGCCACCATGACAGAGACTTCTGTGGAGCTTAATGAGCTCATGTGTTTTTAGAAATGTCAGGATTGATTATTTTCAACATCCAGCCCAAATGATGTGATGTCATAGACTAAAACACCAGCACGGTACAAATGTCCACTGTGCTCAGCAAGTGTCGTCAATTAATCTTTGATCATTATTGATAAACAAAAGTATTAAAAGTTTGCATCTCTAACGTCCTGCCACGCTCCACATTCTCTCTTAATGACACCTGAGTGACAGCAGATGTAAACAAAGCCTTGAACTTTTGGTCCATGCTGATACGATAAGTTAAAAAATGCTTTCATCTGCTCTGATCTGCGTCTTTGAGATCAGATCAGGACTTCTCTTGTATGAACACAGTGTAGGTTTGTTATGTGTTCCTTCCAACAGCTCTACAGACCTATTAAAGTTTCTTAATTGAGTCAATGAGGTAATAATGTCAAACTTCCATTCTGTATATTCTATTGGCGTAATGACTACAGGTTTAAAAAAAAACCTATTTTGATTTGCCCCCTGCAACTCATATGAGCAGTACCCTGAACCTGCACCAAGCAGTCGCATTGTGTCTGAAAGCCTCTTCTCCCTGAAAAACAATAGACTTGATTTGCACTGTCTCTAAAGGACTTCATTAGACTGGGCCCCCTAAAGAACTAAAAACAATACGAGTTGCATGTCAGCTCTCTTCACTTGGCATCGACCTGCCCTTTAAGACTGAGACAACCTTGAGGGACTTGAGACTTACTCTAAAGAACTTAAGACTTTATTTTGGACTGATTCCCGATGACCTGAGATTTACTTTCAATGGCTTGGGACTTGAGTCGTACTTGTCTCAAATAACTGGTTGCTAGTCATTAAAGCCGCGTTCACTCGACTCTGGAAGACTTGACAATCGACTTGGACTTGTTTTAAATGCCTTGCTTGACCTGTACTGACATGAAAAGTGCGAAGGTGCACCCGAGTTAAAGCTAAATAGCGTAGAACTGCAGTAAAAATATTACAGTATCAATCATACATGGGGTGTAAAACCCAGAGGCTGGAGCTGTGTTAAAACTCAACTTGAACTCGTCCCAAAAGACTTTAAAACAGCCTGGAAGTCACTAAAACTGTGTTCACCGTGGTGTGTGTTTGTGTGGGAGAAACAGACACACACGGAGAGCAGAAAGGTTTACGTTTGACAGAAGACGTTATTTACTAGAAATTATTTGCACATTCCCACATGCGCACACACACACACACACACACACACACAACTGTAGAATCAACATATTATACTCAGCTCTTTGAAGTTGAACTTTTGAACATGGACACACACACACACATGAACCACATCAGTGCTCACATACACACCTCACCGAAGGCTTCCCGCGCTGCTCATAAAAAGACTCATGTTTCAAACATCTGGGAGCTTGAAAGCTCCGCGTGTAGCGCCGTCTTCCTGTGTGTATGTGTGTGTGTTTATATGTGCATTAGACCAGCTTGACCCAGTAACCTTGCAGAGTCATGCAAATCCATATTCCCATCACACAGCCTGTGTCCATGTGCTGTTATGTATATACACGCAGCATGTGTGTGTGAAAGTTTCAGTATGTGTAGATGGACATTTTGGATAGCGTGACATGTGCTGGTAAATGTTGGATTAATCCTTAAACAAAAAAACATTAGTGGTAGTCGTCACCTAGCAGTTGGTGTGTGACACTTGTGGAATAGAAAACTTCATTTATGGTCTCAGGGATTCTTTTTATTCTGTTTTATAAACATGTTGAACTTGAAACTGTTGGGTTGTTTATTTGATTGCGATGCTTTGGCATTGTACATCATTACATTTCATGTTAACTTGATTATAGTTTGGTTTTCTACCATGTCGACCAGCAATATTATGACAAATGATTGTTATATCGTGTTACTAGCTGTTATTTTTAACTACACAAGCTGTGAAGATTTTCTGTAACAGAAGTGTGTGTGGAATATAACATCTGTGTTTAATACGTTTCCTGTTAGAAAGCTCCTTTACATTTACACATGTTCTTGTAAACATCCATTTCATGCTGTACATGGGTTTGGTTTGTTTGAGAAATAAACGCCGTCACCCTCAAACACATCTTGTTTGTCTTGTGCATGCCTCCTGTCTCCCAACACCTTCATAAAGCCGTGGCATTCATGTAACTCAAACCATGCACACTCAGATGCCATGTGTGACTCTGTGGGCTGCTGTGGATTGCTTTTGATGGGGTTTTACGCTGAGGCTGAGACCGTAACCTTGACCAGGGAGAGATGTTGAATGGTTGCTAGCATGCTGCATTAAAGAGCATTATTACAGTCGTAGTTTGTCGCTTGTCCATCACTGACAGCTTAAATACAGCAGATACGTTGCAGCACATTTTAAGATGCTTTTTATGGTCGAATTCTTTGTGGGATTTTGTTGGTATCACTCAACACTGCAGATTCTGTGAATACCAACTGTTTTCTGGGCTGAATCCAACAAATTAAGTGGTGTCAATAACAGAAGAGCTAGCTGCCAAGTAACTCATTCCTTAATGTAATAGAGAAACGAAGCTGGCGGAGCCAAAGTATCAAGAAGTGTTTTTCTTCTTCTGCTTTGAAGAAGAGGAGCAACTGTGACATGTAGCATATTTGGACTGCTTTGTCTATGTAGTCAGAAATGAACATAAACACTGAACTTATCCAGAATCCTGAAACTGATACATCGCAATGAATGTGATGCCGTTTTTATAAGAATTCAGTCCTAAACATCCAGTCACCAAGGGTTAGGGACTCAGATGTTTTTAGCACTAAAAATCGTATTTTTAGGAATGGTTAAAAAACAAACAAACAAACAAAAAACAATAGATATGACATTCAGAGTTTACACAAAATATGACACCGAAGAGTTACTGTGCACTCACTACCATCAGAATGAGATACGTCCCATTATATTATTTTGTGTGCAAGAATATCGATGCTTCAAGAATATTCAGAGTTCCTATTCTTTGGTGTTTACACTATGCTGGCTCAGCACTGCGCCTACAGTATATAAAACACAGAGATCCTGCTGCAGCAGTGTTTGTGCAAAGCATGCGTGCATGAATCCATGTGAAATTCACACCGAACTTGTCACCAGGATGTGTTTCTTTGAAATCCTTTCTCTCTCGTTTAGTTCTCTTGTTTCTCTCCTTCCTGTTCCCTTTCCATTTCCTCTGACCTTTTCCTGTGCAGCTATGATTTTAACTTCCTCTGTGTGTGTCTGTGTGTGTGTGTGTGTGCTTGCGTGTTTCTGTGTGTGTGTCCAGCTGAGTGTGAGCACAAGATCCACAGCCCCAGTGGGACCCTGAGCAGCCCTAACTGGCCAGACAAGTACCCCAGCCGTAAGGAGTGCACCTGGGACATCACAGCCACGCCGGGACACCGAGTCAAGATTGTAAGTGTGCATCAAATGAAGCGGGCGACACGTGTTTCTCTTGAACATGACTGGCGTACATCCCTGCCGCACAACAATGCATTGTTCTGTCTGTGGGGTCTTATTGTATGTAAAGGCCTCAGGCTGTTCTTCCCCCTTCTTACATGATGATCTTTCTTTTCATGTTCCACTTATGAAACCCAAATGTGAATGGGGGAGAAAGTGCACGTTTGTATATTCGGGCTAACTGCAAGCGTGTGCTCATGCGTTAGTAAGAGGCCTTGGGCAGTGGCCATCTGTGTCTTTCTGCGTGTATGTATGTGTGTGTGTTCAGCCTGCACGCACACACACATGCAGAGACTCGTCTCCACATTATCTAAGTCGCTGCACATGTATGTATTTAAATATAAAGGTACATATTATATTAATTGACACACTTACAATTCAGGGTCACCATCATTTGGGTTTTGGGTTTTGTCTCTACTAGAAGAACCAAATGACATCTCCAGAGTCTCTGTGTAGAGAAGATTATGCGTCGTGATTATTTTAGATTAAAGATAGCCAACGTTGAAAAGCTCCAAGTCAGATGTGCATCGCTGTTTGTCTAAAGGAGAAAGACAGAGAGAATCAGAAAGGAGAAATCTCAGCCTCTGTGACAGTAAATTGAGAGGTGCGATCGTGACTGCGTGTTTAGAAAGCAAAAACTGTACCTGATTTAAATTTGGTTAGGATTGGTGTTTCCTTGTGAAGCGATGCGCAGCTCCCAGTGTTGCTGCCACACTCAGAACCCTCCCCAGAGTCTTGTTCTGTGAGCATGTCAAGCACCATCTGCGACGAATCTCCTCCGCTGTGTCAAAATGGCGACCCTTCAAAGAGAATTTCATTTTAGTGAAGAGGAAGAAGTTGCATGGAGCCAAATCTGTTAAGTGGGGTGGGGTGGGGGCAGCAATTGTGTTTTTTTGGCCAAAAAAACCCCACCATGCACTATGCATCGAAACACCAAACTGTCCTGTTGTGCCACATTTCACATCGTTTGCGCTGTTCTTCCTCAGACACCTCAGGATGTTACAGTAGAACTCTGTTGACAGCCTGACCCTGTAGGACATATTCACTGCTGTGCACAAGCCCATGAATGTCTTAGAACACAACAGGCCTTCTCCTGGTGCGCTACTGACCTGATGCGCCTTCTTCGGTCTTGGAGACTGTGGGCTCTTCCACTGCTGTCTGGTATCTTGGTTGTAACCTCAGACCCACCAGCTGTTTCCAGTGATGATTACTGGAAGTCAGGCCATTGTCTGAAAAACAAATGTGACGCTCTTTGCTTTAGTTTGAGATCCTTTTTGAAATTGCAAATGCACATCCACCAGTGGTCTCAAACTTGCTCGTAACACAGGTCCTGCTGTTGATAGAGCAGCATCACATGAGTCCTTAGAGTTACTGCTCACACCTGTGGTATGTTCATGATCCTGCTGCACGTTTGTCCTCTAGCGGTGCAAGAATCTCCGTATCACGTGGGTGCTGAAGCTCATACATTTTACAACCCCAATGGAGCCCAATCAAAGCTTAATGTAGAGTGTATAGATAAGCCTAAGATTTTACATACCTCTTTAGTACAATTTACAGGGTTGTTGTTTCCAAGAACTAACAGGCTCATTGCATCAGGAGTATGTGGAACATCACCAGAATGGGACAACCGCTGTTGCATCTCCTCCAGGTGTACCAATAAAACTACAACACAGCCGACTCTCTGGCAAGTTCACAAAATCTTAGGATTTGAAGTGTGAGGACGTCACTGGAAACACACTGTTGTGAGAATGTAACGGAAAACAACTTGCAGCCAAATATGACAATCCCTCTTCACAATGACTTCAACATTTTACTTCTGTGATTCTCCAGCCATACACCTGTCAAGTGTGAGGAAGACTGGATGAATGTTTGTTGAGAAAGACCAACCCAACACACACACATGCACACAGAGACTCGTTTGTTTGTAGTCGTTTTGCACTTCGTTAAACAGAAATTGTAGTTAAAAGCGTTAGAGCAGGAATAAAATTATTACTTTCAATAATTTTTTTTTTTCATTAAATTTTTTTGATTAATAATTTGGTATACATCAGAAAATAAGGAAAAAATCACAGCTCCCGAAAGATATTTAATTTGTGTCACTTCTGAGAAAAGAAAAGCAGAGAATCCTCTCAGTTGTGACGCCAGAATTGTGCAAAGTTTGTCGCATAAACTTGGAAATGACTGTAAACAACGATTTGCCGGTTGCCAAAATACTGTAATCCCCAATTTATCTTCTGTAAGTCGACTATTGGATTACTCAACTACTCGTTTCGGCTCCAAAAAGCATGTATGTCACAAGCGTACGGGGTTCAAATTGGTCCTTCCAAAGATACAAGTGCAGGAGCAGACAGTCACACACACATGCTCACATTCACACAGCGTGCTTCAGATAATCCTCCTAAAGTCCACTCATGTTCCCATGCAAGTGGTGTCACACACACACACACACACACACACAAACACAGTCTTTACAGTATGCACACACATGGCTGGTCTAGACGACACACGCACACACAGCACAGTCGTCCTACAAAATGTCAGGATTTGTCTCTTCACCTCGCCGCCACCCTGCAGCCACATGCTGGGCGTTATCAAAATTGTCATCAACTGTCATTTAGTTTTGATAATCTCTTTTTGCCGCTTATGTAACTGAAAACACATTACATCATCAGCGATGCTCCTGTTTCAAATGTGTGACTGCATGTGATTTACGCGCAAATTTGGAAAGAGGTACATAGTTGTGTCTGTTTTTTTAAAGGTATTTTCTGTTATCTTGATGTGTGATTGTGTATCCTTGTGAGGACCAGACTGAGTTTTGACTTTAGATTTGAGGACATTTTTTGAAGGTGAGGACAGACCACGAAAGTTTTGCTTGGCTTGGACCTAGGGTTCAAGTTAGAGTCCGATTTAGCGTAAGGAGCTCAGGAATGCATTATGTCAATGAGAGTCCTCGCAAAGATAGGAGTACAAGCGTGTGTGCGAGATAATAGGGACGATCTCTACATCCAGAGTAATGACATCACAGCGGGACGAATCTAATATCTGAAATCTGAACGCAGACATGAAGGTCACTCTGTTGTTGCTTCTTCACTCTCTGTCCAACACACACACACAGACACACACTCTCCTCATAGAAGTAGTAAACAAATACACCAACCAACCAGTGTCTCAGCCGAGCTACAGTTAGAAACATCTGGAAGCCATCACGACTCCAGAATCAAACACTTCCCCTCTCTGTAATGACATCCTCACGTCAGCCCTCCGTCGCCCTCCTCTCTCCTTCCGCCCAGTAAAAGATCAGTGTGGAGTTTGGTGATTGTTGTGGTGAGGAGACAGTCAGAGAGGTGTGTGACTGTGGCTCAGAGGCCTGCAAGGTGTTATGACTAAGCTCACGATGACTTGTTTGGATTATACTTCGTGACACTGCATTCATGCCTGCCAGAAGTTGTGTTTGCATGGACTGAGGGAGGCAGGGCTTTCTTCTCTGAAGGTCTAAAATCATGAAAGGCAAATATATATATATTTTAGACACCTCTCAGTGTGAGGGCTTTTAAAGGTGTGTATGAGATAAAAACTTGAATTTTGAATTAACAGAATTATTTTTATGAATTATCATCAAGCTAATTACATTAAAAAAAAAATGCCAATAAAGTGCTTTCCATCATGTCAACTAAACTATGCGAAAACCATATTCTTGATGTCAAGACAAACACAGCTAATAACTTACAAGAACGCATTAAATGTGACTGCAAATAAAGATGGACCGACTCATCAAAACCTGCAGAAAACCTCAGCAAAACGTCACCCACAGAGCGACTCAGAGACTCAGTGATTCAGGGAGACCCCGGGACGCCAGCGTCGCAGTCACTGAGAGACGACCAGAGAAACGCAAACAAAAAACACAAAACAGCCCATAACGGCAAAGAAAAGCAAAGGAAAAAAGCAAAAAACGCAAAAGTCCTAATACAACCTAAAGATTGGGTTTTATTAACTTCCACCACCTTAGACAGCTGTCATGAATGGGGAAATTAGCTACAGAGATCAAACAGGTTTTTGTACCAGGCTGTAAATATATTTATTTCTGCTGTCAGGTGGAAAAGTTTCATCTTGTTTTTGGTACTAATTTTGCTTTTAGAGGCAGCCTCAAGTGGCCCTAAAAGGAAGTGCAGCTTTTTGCAAAAATAGCTTCATTTTTTAGTCGCTGAACTCTTAAACTTGCTTTTTTGCACTTATAAATATAACTTAAACCAAATGAGAAAAAGTTAGGACTTCGATATCTTGCTAGTTATTTCACTCAGCTAGTGATGGTAAAAAACTTCTGTCTGGTTAACTAAGCAACAGAACAACCTAAAATCAATGATCAACCGATATGGTTTCTTTTCTCTTTTTTTGTTCTTTTTTTTTTTAACATACTGACACAGATGTCGATTATTGGTAATGAAGAGAGGCCGTTAACCGATATTTTGATCTGATATACATCAAATGTTATGTTTTAACAGCATGTGGTAGCAGTGAACCTGTCCTTCATAACTCGCCTCCTTCATTACTAAGGGTTAAAAAGCTTAACACTTTATTAACTATTGTCTTCCAGACTCTACTCTGTTTCACAGTAATCTGTGGCTACCTTCTGACTTAGTCACTAGACATTAGCAAAGCTTTGGCCACTGTAGAGAAGCTTATTCCCTGGTTTGTGACGACTTTTATTCATGCTGATTCTGAGCTAACTGGACTCACAGAGAACAGTGAGGAGACTCAGAAAGGCCCGTTTATTTACAACAACTCAGTGAGATTCAATAGAGATTAGTTTCTGGTGCCAGCAGTGTTAAAAAATAATATGAATCAAAAAATAACAACACAGCAGCATTGTTTCCAGGAACAATGTCCTGCTTTCTTGCAGAGCCCATGTTTCCAAGATCGTCAGACTGGGGACTCATCTGCTGAGAGGTTTATTCATCCGAGTAGTATGTCACCAAACCACTCAGACATCCAGTCGCCCCCACAGATGTTCTACCAAAGAACTGAGGAAATATTCATTAAAACAGCCAAAGAACAACAACGAAAATGGTTCAGTTATGATTCCCTAAACTCCCTAAAAGCTAGGACTAGAACTAGGACTCCTACGTTTTTTATTCTCAGACTGATTATCAAGTACTTTATCACTAAAAGTCAAAAAAGTTAGAGGGACTCCAAAGGACTAATTCACTAACAGCTGCTCACAATCAGTTGATGACACAGACCAGCCTCCTGTCAACCAGCTACTGTATGTGAGCTTATTCATAACACGTGATTTCATTCATAGCCACAAAAGTTGCTCTGAATAGTGGAAACTCTGGTTTTCCGATGACTCCGAGGGATTAGATCCTTGTGAATGTGACGATGGTGCCGATGAAAACTGTTACCAGCAATGTTGTTGTCTTACCACCACTCATGGATCTCTTTCCGTCCCTCTGTCCATCCCTCCACCTCTGTAGACCTTCAATGAGTTTGAGATCGAGCAGCATCAGGAATGTGCTTATGACCATCTGGAGGCTTTCGATGGAGACAGCGACACGGCAGCCATCTTGGGCCGCCTGTGTGGCAGCAAGATCCCTGAGCCTCTGGTCTCCACCGCTAACAAGATGTACCTCCGCTTCATTTCTGACGCCTCGGTGCAACGCAAGGGCTTCCAAGCTACACACTCCACAGGTGTGTGAAACAACATTCATCATTAATCATATCGATAGTACTTTGCTTTAAGTCTACATGTGCATCTCTGTGTGAGTTTCTTTATCTGCAAAGGGCATCACTGGGACTCACCTGCTTGGCGTTAACAAGTCTGAGTAGTTTTAGGAGTAATATCTCCCTCTAGTGGTTCATAAGAGCACACAGAAAAGTTTAATGATTATCTGGGACAACAGGAAAGCCTGATGTGCCTAATTTTCAAAATATTTCTCGAACCAATACTCCTTTCTTTGCCTTTGTAGAGTGTGGCGGTCGTCTGAAAGCAGAAGCTCGTCAGAAGAACCTCTACTCCCACTCCCAGTTTGGAGACAACAACTACTCCGGTCACACTGACTGTGAGTGGCTGCTGACAGCAGAGCAGGGCTACGGCATCGAGCTCAGCTTCGTAACGTTTGAGGTGGAGGAGGAGGCCGACTGTGGCTATGACTACATCGAGCTGTACAACGGATACGACGCCAACTCACACCGACTGGGTCGCTTCTGTGGTTCTGGGGTAAGTCCATGTGTTTTCACTTTCATTTTTGATTTTTGATTTTTTTCAAAGGCCAGTGCAAGTTTTTTTTTTAGGTTTTGAGCCTTACGTGAAGTCATGTGTACTGATTTTTGTTTCGTTTACCATTTCTGTATGCATTATACAGATTTAGGTATGGATACTGATATCGTTCCAGGACACCATTTCTTTTTTCTCTTTGTTGCATTTTTAAATTTTATTTTTTTACTGAGTTGTTTTGACATTGAAGATACAAACAGGAAACATGGAGAGAAGAACACAACTATCAACAAATGTTTAAACTGATCTGTGGATGTTGGGATTGCATAGTTTGCCTCTAAACAACGAGGACCCCCACAGTAAACTTTTGACAAAAATGAATTGTGACATGATGATCACTGTGAGCTTCTCAGTTGAATTACACATTTTAAAAAAATCACACAAGCACTCAGAGAGCAGGGACTTGCACCAAGGCTGATGTTCTGCCCCGCAATTTAAAGAAAGTCTTTTGAAACCACAGTAAAAATGTAATGGATTCTTCCTTTGCCTATGCTCCACCTTTCCACCAAGTTTCATGAAAATTAGCCAAGCTGTTTTTGCATAATCTTGCTGACAGACAAACAAATGGCTCTGAATGAATGGAGATGTGTGCAGGCTGCCTAAGGAGCTAAAGAAGTCGCAGGAAGGAAAAAACTAATCTATGGTCACACTGGCAGCTTTGTGACTCAGTCGTGCTTTAACTGAAGGCTAATAGGCTCACATTGCCGCTAATACCTTGCAGATGAAGGTGTATTTTTTTTTTTTTTACATTTGTAATGAACACTAAATACAAACTAATGAAGCTACAATTGATGAGAATGTCCATTTTGAAGGTACTTGGTCATATTCAGGGAATCTGAAAACTCAAAAACACTGATGTGAAGAGAGTTATTGCAATAAATATTTCAATTCGGTTTTATTCACACAGTGCTAATTCACAATATAAGTTATTTCAGAGCACTTTACAAAGTAAGGTAAAGACCTTACAAATAAAGATTATATAGAGAAACCCAATAAATGCAGCAGTTTCCCAGTTTCTATTTTACTGCAAAATAATAAGCTAAAACTGACTTCATCTTTTAAATGTGTGAAAAACTGCTTCACGTGTCTCCCCGTCTTCCCTCCCTCAGCCCAGAGAGGGGATTTACTCGCCCGGAGACACTATGCTGATCCGTTTCCATAGCGACGACACAATCAGCAAGAAGGGCTTCCACATCCGCTACACGAGCACCCAGTACCAGGAGAACCTTCACGCCAGGAAATGACTTCAGACCGTGACCTCTGGCCTCTGCGCAGCCCCGCCACCGTCACCCCGACCTTCACCACGGCATCGAGAACAGAACAGCTCGTCCCCTCTCCTCGGACCAGATGCGGACGTTGGCCAGCCGCCAGAGGAAGACGACTCTCAAGTGAATATTTGTCTCCCCCTCTGGCTCCGCGCAGGTCATCGCACTCTGAGACGAGACGCGACGAGATAAAAAACAAACCTGGGGGATTACGCTGGAGGCTGCGCGAGCCACTTTCACGGAGGAGATGGTTTTATGACTGCATATCAAACTACCCTCGCGCAGCGCAGAAAGAGGGCTGCGGGAGATCCGAATCAGTTTACTGAGATACTCATGGTTGCACAGACACAAACAAAAAAAACCAAGCACACACACACACACACACACACGCACACACACACACACTAGGTTCATATTCAGAATTATAAACCATGGATGCTAAAGACACTAAAGACCTGAAAATGCATCCGAGGAGGGAGTTTGGAGTCTTTCCTGACTCCTTGATACTTACTGTGATCCGACCGCTTACACCCACAGTGACTCAAAAGAAACTGCTGACAGACATTTTTATTGCCTTTGATGCCGGGAACTGGTCTCTTCAACCCAGCTCAGAATGGCTGCAGATTATTTTATTTCATGTCTTTGTATTATAAAACCTATTGTGTTTACTGTATGTGTGTGTGAGAAAAGAACAAACAAAAAGGCTCACGTCCATCCTTTTCCCCCCCAACCTTGTTTTTTTTTTTTGTTTTTTTTTGCTTAAAGCTTATGCAGACGACCATTGTGCGATGGAAAGAAAATAAAAAATAAAAAAATGCAAATGGAGACTTTCCAAATGATCTGTGATGTTGATGTTAAGCCTTGCATTATGTTGTGAGTGTTTTTTGCACCATCTTGTAACAAACCGAGCGTCTTTCATGGATGTTTCCAGTTTCTTCTCCTCCACAGTAAACTTTTTTTTTTTTTTCTCTTTCCAGTGGATATCAGAAGGGAATATTTTTTACAGCTGTCTCTGGGAAGCAAGCGATGGAAGGAGAGACTCCCATGGTGCTAAAATAAAAAATACACTGAATGACTGAATGAAGGTTTTCAAATGGAGACACAGTCAGCGTGCAAACAGCACACTGCATCAACAGCGCTAGTCCTGTGGAACTACAACTTTGCCTTAGAACCAAATGTATCGGCTCCTATGCTCTTGCACAGGTATCTTGTGTCAGCGGAGTGTATTTTGAGGTTTTTTGGCAGCATATTTCATTTGTTTGGAGATACTGAATGGTTTTATTGTTAAAAAACAACAACAACAACAACAACAAAAACCATGACAAATGTAGTCTGTGCGTGAGATAGAGTGTCTACAGTGCATGTGTGTTTGTGTCATTTTTGTAGCTGCTCTCAGAGATGCATACACACATCCACAAATACGCAAAAACACACCTCATGTTTTAGTGCAATTTCCCGACCACGTCCGAACGTTTCCTTTCTGCACATTTGGAGCGCGAATAAAGAGAGATAAAAGAGAGAGAGAGTGCTGTAAAGTGGAACGAATATCAGCTGCGAACAAGCCGCAGTGTTTCTGTGTTAAATGCAAAACGTGTAAGTGTGTGTTTTACGTGATTATAGAGAAATATGTGCGTGTATGTCTGTAAGTTGTATGTGTTTAAGTTGATTTATTCATTGCTGTATGTGCCAAGCTCCAGGTGACCCTGATTCCACTGTAGTCATTGTTTTATCATTCCAGCTCTGGGTCTGTAGTTCAGAGACATTGACATGACATCCTCTGCATCAGTCATTAAAATACACACAGGTTAAAACGACACGTGTCTTTTATAAATTACTGCTGCGCTTTGTGTCTGGAGAAGTCGCCAAATATCGATCCAGAAATCAAATCCTGCCGTTTTCCATCATAATTGTCATGTAGAGCTCATTGTTTTCTGCCTGATGATTTCCGACTATTTCATGGCTCACATTAACGGATATTTCAATCTTGGTTGCAGAGCAAGTCTTAAAAAGTGTAAATCTCTGAGTGTTGGTCAGATTTACCACTTTGTCTCCATGTCTTTAAGCCTCACTCGTCCTTATTTATCTACTTTTGTCTATGGAATCTGAAGACACCCACTTGAGTAGTTTCTAATTTTATAAAAATATAACTGAGCGTTTATCAAAGTAAATTTAAATTGTCATTTAAAAACATGCAAGGTGGAGCAGTGGTTAGCATTGTTGCCTCACAGCAAGAAGGTCGCTGGTTCACATTCTGGTGGGGACACTGGGATCTTTCTGCGTGGAGTTTGCATGTTCTCCCCGTGCAGCGTGGGTTCTCTCCGGGTCCTCCAGCTTCCTCCCACAAAGTCCAAAAACATGCTGAGGTTAATTGGTGATTCTAAATTGTCTGTAGGTGTGAATGTGAGTGTGCTTGGTTGTCTGTCTCTAAGTGTAGCCCTGTGATAGACTGGGGACCTGTCCAGGGTGTCCCCTGTCTTCACCCTGAGTCAGCTGGGATAGACTCCAGCCCCCCGCAACCCTAGTGAGGATTAAGTGGTGTATAGATGATGGATGGATGGATTTAAAAACATGCATAAAGAACCTCAAAGATTTGGGGCACCACTATAGCTCACCTGGTTGAGCTGGCGTCCCATGTGCAGAGCTACAGTCCCAATGTGGAGGTCATGAGTTTGAATCCCGCTCATGACCCTTTCCCACACGTCCTCACTCCATTCTTCTTCCCTACTTTCCTGTCTCTCTCTCTCACTAACACTATCCAATAAAGGCACAAAGGCTGACACAACAATCTCAGTGCAAGCATCAATGATCTTTCAGTGGATGGAGTTTGCTTGTCATTCAGGTTTTTACGTACATGCTGGTTTAAAAATGTTTTGTTTTTGTGCATTAGACCTTGTTATGTGTCACATAACATCATAGGCTCGATGGTCTCCCAACAATCTTTCAGTGCGTTCAAATTATTTGTAATTTAGGATAATTAGGTTCTGATGTGTCTTGTTATCATTTTCCATTTCTATATTCTTTTGTTTCCAGCTTTAACATTATGCTTCAACACTTTAACCAAAATATAATCCAGCCCACAGAGTGACACCAGGATCATTGATCTGCTGATCACATAATCTGACCCCCACATGACGGCCATTGACTCCTGTTGCTGTTTGCAATTTAATTTTAGCAATCACTTCAGAATTCCTTTTTATTAAAATACAATTAAATACTGAAAAACTCTCGCACGCACCGAAGTACATACCACAAACCCTGTTTTCCTTTGATCAATCCAGTGAACGGCCATCTGGTGAACATGTTTACTGGTGCTGCTGCAGGACTTTGTGCCCTCTGTGAACATATCTGACCCATTTTAGACACCGCAGCTCGGTGGTGTGTGAGGACAAGCCACTTACCTTTATAGGATCAGTTTGATGAGCTTCAGTTGTCACACATTTGCTGCAACACACTCACAGCTGTTTGCGGCCGCTGTTCTAACTCCAGGTGACCACTAGAGGGCGCACAGTTTGAGCTCTTCAAAGGTTTGTGCTCTGAAATGGAGCTTCAAGTGTTTCTTATATTAAAACAAATGTCGTCTTTTTCATTAGAACACAGATGTATCTATACTCAACACCAAATGCTGACCGAAGAGCGCAAAACTAAATACTTGCTTGAAGGTAAAACAGTGCTTAAACTTTTATTAAGGGGGCAAATTGTGTTTGGAGGATGTTTTGCACGGTGCACTCTTTAGAAGAACATAACCTATATTCAGTAGGACTGGGTCGGTTTGAAGCTGCCTGGTGGTTTCCCTGCAGACAGTGTGTTAGATCTGCATTAGCGTTTGTCTCCACCTACAGTTCACCCAGAGAAATGCAGTCAGGCTGGTGTAACAGTCACTGTGTGTTTGCAACTGCTTTAAGGATCAGCAACTGAGCCAGACATCCACAAAACCATTATCTAATGATGCAAACTATTTTGGGCTAATTTAACGAGGTTTCTAGGTCAACAGTCAAATACTGAAAAGGACAAATTTCATATACTCGTACTTGTAGGTGCAGAGTAATGCAATGGTTGTTTTTTTTTATTATTATTATTACTTTTTATTTTACTCATGAATAAGCGAGGCAACCAAAAAAAATATTTTAATTCTAAATTCCACACAGCGCAGGAGCTCCTGCAGTGTGAGTGCCTGAAGTCTGCTATATGTTGAAAGAGTGCTAACATTTGATGGCAGCAGTGCCGGATGAACCATTGAGCACTTTTTGTCTGACTAAATGAAGTTATAAAACAACAGTGATACACTCAATATACATAAATCTGCTCATTAATTGTTTGACTATTTTTTGTGCATAAAATGGTCAGTGTCAATGAAAATGCCTCTCACATCCTCCCTGAGTCCAAACGGACACATTCAAACAACAATTTAGCGTCTGGATGAAACATGGATTAACTGGGCATTCAAACTTTGTAGCTAACATCCATAAATGCAGAGTTTATAGCAGCTCTGGTGATACGGTCCACTCTTTCAGCCTACAGTTCCCTCAGAGTGCACCCTATGTGGCATCACAACGAACCAATATTTTTACGATTGATTTATTTTCAGATTATTTTCTTTACCTGTCATTTGGTCAACAGAATGTTAGCAGCTAACAAAAAGCTCATTGCAGCTTCTAAAAGCAAACAGTGATGCTGCAAAATAGTCATATCTACTGAAACAGTTTGTTTTTGGGTTTTTTTGGGAGCCAATTTTGCTTAGAAATGACACAAAATATTCAATTAAAATTGTTGCTGGTAAATTTTATATGAATTAACTTGGGCTGGAAGAAAAATATCGATATGGCATTATATCGTATCACTTCCTCTTACTGCTTTGGAAATAATTATCAGACCACTTGTTTGTTTTCTTTACAGATGCTCCACTACAGGCCTTCAGCACTGACAATCTTGTTAGCATGTGATCATATCGGTTAAATCATTACAGCAAAGAAATGAAAAAAATCTTATTAAGATTCAATACATGCAATAAATTGTATTGTAAAACTACTGCCTATAGCATGTTTTGAACCCTTTCAAAATGTGTGAGTCACCACTATTTTGTGCATAAGCTGTATAAGTGAAGTCAACAGACGATCCAAACTATATCACCACCCAACAATGTCTATATGAAGAGATTTGTCAGATGACAAGAAGACAGCCACCTTGGTGCTTGAGAATCATTGCTAACTGGCTTGGAATCAGTAATACAGCTTCCATTACAGCTGTAAGAAGAAAACACAGTATGACTTCACCAAGGATCACAAAGTAGGACGCAGCAAACGATGGTCACAGTGGTCCAATAGTTATTCCCAAAGCTGTATGATGCGTTATAGCTACACTTGTACCAAATAGAATTATATTTATTAAAACATGCAGGCATTCCAAAAGGATTTCCACGACTTACCAGAGTCACTCCCTAATATTTCCTTTTGGTGGCCTTTAAAAGTAAACGGAAATGTACTAACCAGCTGCAAAGCAGTCAGAGAAAGCAAATGAGAGAGCTAATCACCTGAGCTGACACATTGTTAAAACTGACTAAAAATTACAATTCGCAGACACAATGACAACACAAAGCAGTGAATAAATGCATCATTTCTGCTTTTTGTCTTACTAGGGGTGTTTTCCCTTCTTCAGTTAGTTTTCTTGATGTACCGCAAATGATTGTCTCGCAATGTATTGCAGAATCTCTGTATCATGATACCGATGGTATCGTGGTAGAATCATATTGTGGCTTACTCTGTGTCCCCCCCCCCCTAAAAAGGACTGATCAGTTCATTATCTGGATAATCTGAGATTTCAGTAGAAACTATTACCTGCTAAAAAGAAAAAAATGACCATTTCAAGTTTGTTCAAACACATGAAATTGCAACAGTCTGCCAACTCTGCCTACAGTTCCCAAAATGCACCATGTCTGCACTGTTTTAAAGTGAGCAAAAAATTCAAATGAAAAGAGAAGCAGAAACCCAAACTTTAGACACGAGCACCACCTTTGAGACCAAAAGTTAATTCTTAACTTTCCTCGTAAACAGAAGTGAACAAAACACAAGTGCACACACTCCACCTGCTGAAGAAGATCATGTGATGTGATCAAAAGCTCCTGATCAGATAACAGATGGACCCTGCAGTGATAAAAGCTCTGTGATGTTTCGTCCATGAGGGTGTCGAGGTGCAGCACATTTTATCCAAACATTGCTTTGGTCACATAGCATCTTTAATACCACCATTATAATAATTAGGATATCAAAAGTATTGAGTATACATACATCATTTGCATTGCGGTACACAAATCTGAGCTGATTTATGTTTTTATATCTTTCATTCGTTGTTCTCAGGATCAACTTTTATTATCTTGACATTGTGCTGATACATTAAATCGTCCTGAAGAACTTGACGCTATTTCAGGAAGGAGAACATTTAATTGGACATGTATTGTTAAGCAATATAAAAAAGTTTTTTGATATTTCCAAATGTAACTTGAATCCTATAGTCTACTACTTTCCAATACCAATAATCAAGAATCTTGATATAAGCCAAACTAGAGTCCATGTCACCAAAATCAAAGTACTTCAGGTAGGTTTCTTCACCTACAGTGGTCTGGATATTCTGTAGTTTTTCTTCTCTTTTTTGCAGTTAAGTTCTTGAAGCTGTGGGAACAGTCTCTTGAAGCCATGCCTGTTTTTATAACAGTCCCAGTAAATGGATTCTCAGGAGTCTGAAGATGTACGTGTGTTCATGTGTTCATGTGTATTGGTTGAGGAAAGCGAGGGTGAAAATGGTGAAACCCCTCACTTCCTCT